TATTTATTTATCTCTTGATTGCGACAGCGAAATGCGTTATAGGTATTACACCACAGATTCCGATCCTGCCCCTTTCATGATCTGAAGTGTGTTGAAAGAGACGTAATGCATTAATTTATTCCACTTATTTCAACCCTTTCCTTTTTCGTTTCCTTAGCCCAGAAAAACGATATCGCCAACTCCTTCCCGTTTCATGTTCAGCTTGATCCCAACTACCAACTTTACTGGAACTTTAACGCTACGCACATTACGTTTAAAACAGACGTAAAAACAAAAGGCTATGTGGGTTTTGGAATCTCCAGCAACGGGAAGATGTTCCCGGCCGACGTGGTGATGGGCTGGGTCAAGGATGGCGTCTCCCATTTCTCGGTTAGTATTGTCGTTGTCTCTAAGTATTGTTATTGTCTCATTTCTCTGTAAGTATTGTCTTTGTTTCTTTAAGTATTGTCGTTGTCTCATTTCTCTGTAAGTATTGTCTTTGTTTCTTTAAGTATTGTCGTTGTCTCATTTCTCTGTACGTATTATCGTTGTTTCTTTAAGTATTGTTGTTGTCTCATTTCTCTGTAAGTATTGTCTTTGTCTCTAAGTATTGTTATGGTCTCATTTCTCTGTAAGTATTGTCTTTGTTTCTCTAAGTATTGTTATTGTCTCATTTCTCTGTAAGTATTGTCTTTGTTTCTTTAATTAAGTATTGTCGTTGTCTCATTTCTCTGTACGTATTGTCGTTGTTTCTTTAAGTATTGTCGTTTTTTCATTTCTCTGTAAATATTGTCGTTTTTTCATTTCTCTGTAAGTATTGTTGTTTTCTCATTTCTCTGTAAGTATTGTCGTTTTTTTCATTTATGTGTAAATATTGTCGTTTTTTTCATTTCTCTGTAAGTATTGCGTTGTATACTTTCTCAGTAAGTATTGTCTTTGTTTCCCGTTTTTCTGTAAGTATTTTCGTTGTCTCCCATTACTCAGGATTGTCGCGTCACTTATCCGTAGATATTGTCGTTGTCTCATTCCTCTGTAAGTATTGTCGTTGTCTCATTCCTCTGTAAGTATTGTCGTTGTCTCATTCCTCTGTAAGTATTGTCGTTGTCTCATTCCTCTGTAAGTATTGTCGTTGTCTCATTTCTCTGTAAGTATTGTCGTTGTCTCATTTCTCTGTTAGCATTATCGCTGTTTCTTTAAGTTCTGTTGTTTTCTCATTTCTCTGTTAGTACTGTCGTTGTATACTTTTTCCGTAAGTAATATCTTTGTTTCCCGCTTTTCCGTAAGTATTTTCGTTGTCTCCCATTACTCCATAAGTAATGTCATTGTCTCATTTCTCTGTAAGTATTGTTATTGTCTCATTCTTCTGTAAGCATTTTCCTTGTATTATCTACCCCGTAAGTATTGCCATGTCTGTGGAATATTTGTCATTGTCTCATTTTTCTGTAAGATCATCATTATCACCATCATCATTATCATCATTATTAATGTAAATTCTCTGTGTTGACACTTTAACCCTATCCGTACGCCCTGGGTCATTTTGTACCCCCGGGGTTGTATTCTTCACATTTTAGAATACTTTTAGTACAAAAATCTCTTTGAAATTATCAGTATTTTTCAAAAAATAAATTTGACAGACTGCTATACAAAGCGTACTGGTGGGATAAACGAGTAAATTTCCTCTTTGGAAAGTGGTGGCACAGAGGTCCTCATGTCGTATGGATACGATAGTAAAACGCGACGTACGGATAGGGTTAAAGAAACATATTTTTTGACTTAACAACATAAAGAAAAACACAACACATCCCGTTTACCCCAGGACCGGCACACCACAGCCCACGCCGCGCCCTCTGTAGACACACAACAAGACTGGACGCTTCTCTCTGCCCACGAGACCCACGACTCCACAGTTCTCACATTCCAGAGGAAGTTGGAGACCTGTGATGATCAAGATATCGCTATTGTGGTAAGGGTTTTTTCCTTGTTGTTTTAGTAGAGGTATTACGACGCTCGCAACTGCATAAGGTCATACGATCACCAGAAGATTAGAGGTGTTACAAGAGAGTAACAAACATAAAAAAAGAAGGAGAGATCAGGACGATAGATGTTATATAGGAAAGAAGGAGCAAACCACTCCAGAGCACCCGCCAACCACCCACGGTTTTTTTTTCTTTCGTTATAATGAATAATAATAAGAATTTGAGCATAATAGGTGGTAAGCATTATCATCCTAATTTTCATCATCATGACTGCTTGAAGATTAAAAAAAAATAAGGCAAACAGTTGGTGGAAAACTAGAATTTCAAAATTTATGATACTGAAAATCATCATCATTACCATTAGGCATCACCGATCATAGTCTATCACTCTTTTCTCATCTTGGATACTCTAACTTTCAAAATCATTCCCTGCTCTCTTCCCCACCGCCACCCCAACATCCATCAAAACTATTCCTTACATTTCCTGCTTCCCCCTGCATCCCTGTACTCCCCCTCTTCATTTCCTTCTACGTTCCCTCCCCCTGCTCCCCCTCTCTCCTCTTCAATTCCCCACTCCCCCTCACTCCTCTTCCATTCCCCCTCCCCCTCCCTCCTCTTCCATTCCCCCCTCCCCCTCCCCCTTCCTCTCATCTTTTCTTCCCCCCCCCTCCTCCCCTCTCCCGCCCCTCGCTCACACTCCCTAGGAAGGAACCACCCGCGTCATCTTCTCCTACCACCCGTCTGACCCGTCTGACCCATCTGACCCGTCTGACGTGACCAGCATCCCGTACCACGGGTCTGAGAGGCGTGGAGCCCGCTCCTTACTCCTCCTTGACCCCCCAGCCTCTGAGTCCAAGACCCCGCCCTCTCCGGCCAGCGTGAGGACTTTGGAGTTTCTCAACGGGAATGTGAGTCGCCGTTGTCGCTAAAGCTAGTGTTCTTAAGATAAGATAAGATAAGATAAGATAAGATACGATCAGATCAGATCAGATCAGATCAGATCATATTTACTTTATTGTTCCAGCGGGAATTTTTTTTTCTTGGCTGTAGAGGACCGTAAAGGCACCTGCAGGTATTCATCTACTTTTAAATTATAATCTAATTAAATTCAATATGAACAGGAAAGTTTTTCTCAATGTCGTCGTTGTTATTATTGTATTTGTTATCTTCATCATCTTTATGACATAAACAGGTACTCTAAAATCTCTGCACAAATTTCAACCAAACTTCAAAACAAACGAAGTTAATTCAACCACGGGAACGTCAAGTTTATCATTCTGAAGAAAATCAACCAACGTGTTCGAGAACTATGAACATTTTACGATTTCAACCAGAATTGGGTAAAAAGTAAACGTCACTTCTTAAAGGACGAGGAAGGTAAAACCACGACAGTCACTTCAGATCGTGCTGAAAAAAATTAACATAGTTTTTTGGTGGACTTTTGTTGTTGTTGTTGTTGTTGTTGTTGTTGTTGTTGTTGTTGTTGTTGTTGTTGTTGCTGGTAAGTGTTTTACGGCGGCCGCAACTGCATAAGGTCATATGAGCGCGCGGGAAACCTTAAACATTTTCAGTTTGTGGGAAAATGTGAATTTTGCCCGGGTGGCGGTCGAAGCTTACTCTTATTAATTAGAAGAGGATTGGGGAGGAGGAGAGGTTATGCTGTTAATAAAGGAGACCTGATTCCAGTAGCACGAGGCCACATCGCATACGTGAAGAGTGGACTTTTAGAATTTTCGAAAGCATAAGCTGATTTCTTTGTAATATTGACAAAGGTGAGATCTTCCCCCCCCCCCTCCCCGTGGTCGAAATTCAACTTGAATCATATCTTATTTGTTCGAAGCTTTGTTGAAATTGGTCAAGAGATTGCTGAGTTGTTGTCTTTTTTTTACCCCTATCCGTACGCTCTGGGTTCATTTTGTATCTCCAGGGTTGTATTTTTATTTTAGAATATCTTCTTGAACAAAGATCTCTGTAAAAACTTCCTGTATTTCTCAAACAGTTATTTTGACAGATTGCTATGCAAAGCGTACGGATCGGATTAACGAGTAAATTTCCACTTTGGAAAATGGTGGCACAGAGTTCCCCACGTCGTATGTATACTACAGTAAAACACGAGGTGCGGATAATGGGTCATTTTATCTAGACGCCCAGTATTATTATATCTTTGTGATCAATATCTATCTAACATCTTCTTTAATGTAATGTTGACTCACCGTCTTTTCCAGTTCTCTGTCCCAGGCAAAGACACATTCTACCACTGCACGTCCTGGGCCTTGCCCGACCTGGGAGGAAAACATCACTTGATCAGGGTAAGTTCCCAGTTTAGTTACTATAGTTATGATAGAAAGGCGACGGCAACATCAATGTGATGATGATGATGATAATAATAATCATCACCATCATCATCATCATCATCATCATCATCATCACCATCATCATCATCATTATGATGCTGATAACAATGCAAGTCATATTAATAATTACTACTACTACTACAAATACAACTACTATTACTACTACTACTACTACTACTACTACTACTACTACTACTACTACTACTACTAATATTGTAAACGAAAATAACAAGCCGTGCATATCCAGACCAGCCACAAGAAGCCTCTGACTTCATCGTCACCTACTTCTAGCAAATCAAAACGGTGATTGGTTGATTAATTGATAAATTGATTTGTTTATTGATTGATTGATTGAGTGAGTGAGTGAGTCAGTCAGTCAATCAGTGAATGAGTGAGTCAGTGGCAAGTGAGTGAGTGAATGAGTAAGTGAAAAAAACCGGAGAACACTATAATAATGTACATGTTGATGAAAAGATGGTTAGAAGAATGAATTCAGGTACAGATAGATCGATTGATCGAATGATCGATTTATCTTTTGACGTTTATGGTTGATATCACATTGATATGACTGATTAATAACCAACCAACAGATCGATCATTATTGTCCACTTTTCAGTACGAGCCGATCATCCAGCCAGGCCACGAGAAGCTGCTCCACCACATCCTCATTTACTACTGTCAGGGCAAGGTGGCTGCCTCAATGGCTGGCCGGAGCTACGAGTGTTATGAAGAGACGCCCCCTCAGCTTGGGTACTGCTACTCCGTCCTGATAGCTTGGGCAGTCGGGGGGATGGTGAGTTGAGGACATCGTGGTTGTGTGTGATTGTGTGTGTGTGTGTGTGTGTGTGTGTGTGTGTGTGTGTGTGTGTGTGTGTGTGTGTGTGTGTGTGTGTGTGTGTGTGATTGTTGATGGTATGGTGAGTTGAGGACATCGTGGTTGTGTGAGATTGCTGGTGGGGTTGTGAATACACGAATTGCGAAGCTTTATCTGCTCAGTATCTAGTTTTTAGAAATTTCACGTGAAACAATTAAGTTTTACAACATGTCAAGCTTTTTCGAAAGCAACTTTTTGAATACCTTAATAAATCTTGGCATACTTCAGTCTCAAGAGACTATGGATCTGCGCCGTATGAGATTTCTCGAGAGCGGCGCTTTCTGTGGCTGAACAGGCTCACACGAGAATGGCAGTCCCTGTTGCAGTGGCTGCACTTGTGAGTGATGTCTTCCTGCGTTGGTAGCCTCTGGCTGTACGTTCGGCGACAGCGTTTGTCCTCAGCAGCCTGTCGCAGTCGGGCTTCACCTCTGATGAGACCAACTCGCAGTGCCTGTCTCCCTTTGTCGCGATCGCACGCCCTTGTCTCCCATCTCTCAGTGTCCATGTCAAGCGATTTCATATCTCGCTAGCACACATCTTTGAAGCAAATATGGGGGCGCCCTTGCGCTCGCTTTCCGGGGGCCATCTCACCGTACAATAAGTCCTTTGGGATTCTTCCATCCGGCATGCGATGCACGTGACCAAGCCATCGGAGTCTTAATAACGACTCCGAATAACCGTACGATTTTGATAGAGCCGATAGAATAAATATTGTGCTTATGAACTCATCGTCTTAGTGACTCCAAAAGGCAAAAATGTCATAAAGAAATTTGTAATTCAAAGGTAGTGGTTTGTTGGCGGCATGCTGAGTACATGAGTGTGTATGTTTGTCAACAGTATAGTGAATACATGATTGTGCGTTTGTTTTTCGACGGTTAGATGAGTACATGATTGTTTGTGATTTCCAACGGTATGGTGATAATATGATTGTACACGAATGTTGACAACATAGTAATGACATAATTGTATGTCATCGTTTATGATGAGTTGAGTCCATGATTGTGTTTGTGATTGTTGGCGGTATGGTGGGAAGTGGCCCTTCGTGCAGGGGATTGCCATGTACAGTTGACCGTTAATAAAACAAGACCGACTGCATATTATTATTATGTTATTATGTTAAATCATTACAAAAGACAGCTAAGGGGTAATCTTATATTCCAATCAATCTATAAATAAACCAGGCTTTCGACTTCCCTGATCACGTGGGCCTCCCACTGGGCACTGATGCTGACCCGGGCTTCTTTGTCATGGAAACACACTACGACAACCCGGCCATGAGGTCAGGTGAGTGGTCAGCGTTGTCTGCTTGTTTGTTAGTTTGTTTGTTTGTATGTTTGAGTTCTTATTATAATTTGATATATATAAAACTGCTTTTGAAGCTCCGAAGGACTCAGCTTCGCTGGGGTGGCCATGTTGTAAGAATGCCAGATTTCAGAATCCCAAAAAGGCAGTATTTTATTCAAAACTGTCTTTAGGGAAGCGAAAGTTTGGCGTGCTAAAAAAAAGTACTACAAAGACACCTTGAAAATGTATCTGAAGCAATTCAACTTGTATTTCAACATGGGGGTGCCTTATTGTTTCAAACAGACTCAGCTGAAGAGCAGTATAAGTTACAGAGGGCAACACACCATTAATTACGAGGCTTCACGAATAAGAAAAGCTGCGACAAAGAGAAATTCCCACATGCTGTACACATCCACA